AAGTTCTAGGGGATGTGTACTCACTAGAGAGAGAGGTCACCTCCTGGGGGCTGGTCATGCCACAATCCCTTTTTTTATTCTCTCAGGATTTTAGGTACACACATAAACCCCTGGCATGATTTTCAGGCTGCCAGGTCCAGGGTTCAAACTGTGCCATCGGTCACGTGGGATCTAGCACCTTAACTCCACGCTACCTGCTGGCTCCCAGAATCCACTTTACACAATGATTTGTGTGTAGGTTGAGCCTTATTTCTCCATGTACTTAACATTTTACAGTTACGGAATTCCTTTACCTTCATTCATATCTTTTCCTCAAACATAGCTCAGGAAACTGTACTAAGAACCAGAGCAGGTAATATGGGTGGCTAGCAGGTGGTGTCCGGGGGCTGTGAATGCGCCATGTTCTCTCCGCAACTCCAGTCAGTTTCCAAATGTAACATAGCTAGGTGCCTGCTCCCACTCTGCACTGTGAGCTCCTTGAGAAAAACATGATTACTATTTTTTTAAATAATTATTTAATTTTATTTATCATTCATTTATTTTAATTTGACCAGAGAGAGAAAGAGTGAGAAAGCAAGCTGCCAGGTCCGGGACTCGAACCATGGTCAGCCATGTGGGAGTGTCCAGCACCTTAACCACCATGCCACTGGCTGGTCCTAGTGATTACTATTTTTTAAAAGAGAGATTTTTGCTATAGGGCACATGCACTGGCAAGAAAGAGAAAGCAAGAAATCACCCCACTCCCCGGGAAATGGCCACACTGCAATCCCTTCTCCTCCATTCTCTCCTTGGGGTTTTGGGCACACATGCACATGTGCCCGGCATGAGTTTCAAGCCTCTGGATCTGGGACTTGAACCACAGTTAGCTATGTGGGAGTCCAGTGATGTAACCATTATGCCATCTGCTGATCCCTGAGAAGAGACATTATTATCCATACATCCCAAAGTCCAGTATGCTGCCTGTCATATAGCCAACTGATCAAGAAATATTTGGTGGCTGATGATCTCCATCTTCGGTTGGATCCTCAAGGGGTCCTAACTCTGCCTTGGAAAGCACGCCAGGCCGAAGAGCTGGGCTGTACAGGCCTTGCCCTTTGAGAACAGCTCAGCTAAGCCTTGCTTGTTCCCTGCCTCCAGATGGTGGAGGTGTTCCTTTTTTTGAAGAAGAAGAAGTTTTTGCTATAGGGTGCGTGCGCTTGCCAGACAGACAGAAAGCGAGACATCACCCCCCAGGGGGTATGGTCACGCTGCAATTCCTTCTCCTCCATTCTCCTCTCGGGATCTTGGGCGCACACACACACACACACACACACACGCCCAGCGTGAGTTTAAGCCACCGGGTCTGGCACTTGAACTGCAGTCGACTACATGGGAGTTCAGCGACATAGCCATTACGCTAACTGCTGGTCCCGGAGGAGTTCTTTTTCCCTACCTTTTCTCCCAACAATTCACTGCTACTTTTTCTGCATCAAAAAGTGGTATGGTCCCATTCCTGGAAAACAAACTCCCACATACATGTCTGAGGGCTTTCACTATCTTATAAGATGATGCCTGGGGGCCAGCAGGTGGCATGGTAGTTAAGGCACCAGACTCCTACATGGTTGACCACAGTGAGTCTTGAACCTGGTGGCCTGCTTTCTCATTTTCTCTCTCTCTTTTTTTTTTGGAGAGGTTTTTGCTATAGAGCATGTGGGCTCGCCAGAAAGACAGAGACAGAGAGACAGAAGGTGTCATTTTCTCTCTCTTTCTGAATTGCTCTTTGGTGAATGCATATGCCTATAGCAAATTAAATAATAATAGCAAATTAAATAATAGCAAATTAAATAATAATAATGGTAAATAAAATGAAAATAAAAACAAAAAAGATTCTTCTTGGTCTTTTTTCCTCTGGGCATGCCACTGGAATACAGAGACCCAGAGACCTGACTGAGGAGCCAGATGATGGTTCCTTCTAATCCTTCATGCCTGGGGCACTCACTCCCTTTGCAAATGGCCGGAAGAAGAGCAAGAATGTGGGATGCACATTTATCTTTAGCCAGAAAAGAAGCTCAGCGTGAGGTGGAGTTTCTTATGGTATAAAAGGCAAAAAGGGACCCATCCTCTGATCCGATTATTCTAGCAGTAATTATTCTAATGCCTGTTCGGTATATGAGAATGACTTCCCATTTCTATACTGATCACTTCAGCATCTTGATTTCCTACCACTGATAGTGGAGGGAGGGAAGCCATTACACCATAAAGAAGTACGATGATAAATTCTAGCCCCTCCCCGAAAGTGCTCCCCCCAGTAATTTCATCTCCGTGAGTTTCTCTAACAATTTGGGTAGAGTCACACTTGTGAGGATGGGAACCCAGACAGGCCTCACACAGGGTTGATTTCAAAGATAAAGTTACAGTGGGGCTGTCAGGTGGCATGGTGGTTAAGGTGCTGGCCTCCCACATGGCCGACCGAAGTTCCAGTCCTGAACCTGGCGGCTTGCTTTCTCGCTTCCCCCACCCCCTATCTCTCTCTTGTCAAATTTAAATAAATAAATAAATAAATAAAGTTAAATAAAATAATTCTTTTTTTTTTTTTTTAAAGATAAGATGACAGAGGTACTTTTCAGTACAATTTGGTCAAATATATGAATACTAAGGGAAGCATGTTAATTCTGGAATAAATCTTAGTAAAATTATGTTCTTTATGTATCTCTTAGCTTTCTCCTTGTTCTTCCAGAAACAGGTTGAAGAAGATCTCCTGCTGAGTAGGGCTCATGTAACTAACTTTCCAAATGACCCCCTATTTTCCTTGCTTAGCTAAGGAGCCATGTGACAGGACTAGGGATGGAGGATGGGGATGGGGATGGGGATGAGCAGACTTCCTCACTGACCGACTGCATGCCATTTGTAAGTGTTTGGAAAGGCTGATGGGTTAGAATCCTACCCCCTCACTGGTTAGGCTACTTTTTGGTAATGGTAAATGTATCTAAATAGGACTCCCACTGAACACTCACCCTCTTCTGGGAAAAGCAGCCATTCCTATTTGCAAAATCAAGACAATCACAGTTGCACATTTTCCCAAATCTTTGGCTGTATTGCAATGGTTGTTTCATTTTGTAATCTCCAACTAAACATTTCCTAACCGTGGATTAACAATATAGTTACTGACTGGTTTCTTTTTAACAGTATTTATCCAACATAACAAAATAAACTGCAATTTGTTATACTTTTTTTTACAAAACATTTTATAAATATTTTTACAAAATGTATACAAAGCAATTTCAAGTGAGACATACTATACAAATGAAGGTATTTAAGCAAATAAAGCCCACACCACACTGACAGCGAGTGACGCGTCCTCTTTAAGTCAAGTCAGTCTGTAAGGCCTCCCTAATCTAACAGAGTGTACTAAATTCCTCAGAGCTAAAATAGTTCTTTTTCGTAATTGCCAGTTTAAAATTTGCTTTATCTTTAGGCAGTACTTAAGGACACAGAAAATCAAATGCTTAATAACACATTCACGCTTTTCCACAACAACAGGAAAAAAGAAAAAAAAAAAGAAAATGATTTTTTTATCTGAGTTCCAAAACTTAACTTTAACTAATGAACCTGAACGACTGAATGTGGCCATCCGAGGCTGAACTCTCTGACCCTTCACCAGAAGGGGCTCGACATGCGAGATATGACCCAGGTGTGCACAACCTAATCACAGGAGTAAAATACATTTCGTCATCTTCATTTGTCATTATCTAGAATCCTTCCTCCATAAAAAGTAAACTTACATACAAGGACACAAAAATTTACAAGTTTCATTTTGGTAAATTCGGCTCTCCATTTGCTAGACAAGTGTTGGGGCTTAAAAACCCTTTAAGATGGCACAGAAAAGCTAGGACTGGGGCAGTGGGCAGGCTGGGGACGGGGGAGAGGTGACAAAAATACACGAAGCTTTTCTTGTCTAGCAATGCCACTGATTCGCAGGAATTAATGTAACTCATTAGCAGCCCACGTGAAGGCTTCCAGCTCGAAAGTTCCACAACGAGAAGAATTTGATCAGGGGGGACCATCTTTATGTCTGGCTAGGAGTTAGGGGAGCATGAGCCCTAAGAGAAGAAGAGCCTAGGAGATTGTGGAATTGAGGGCAGGGCCAGGACTGCCCAAACAGAAAGTTCCAACTGGCAATACCAACTTATCTTCCTAATATGTTACAAGACAGGAGAAGGGAAATCTGCAGCTTGGACATTGGCACAAATAAGGAAAAAATGGTTACCCTAAAGGGGCCCAGATTTTCCCATTTTTATTGGCGGGGGCGGGGGGGTGGGGTGGGAGCACGTTGCTGTCACGAAGACTGGCTGTCCCACAGAGGTTCTCTGTGTGCCGGGACAGAGGGGCAGGGAGGGTATAGGTCTTCCGCTGCTGTGTTTTCTAATAATCAGAAGCCGCCTTTTCCATCTCAGGCCGATCTGGAAAAGAAATGCCCAACATGATGACAATGGGGGTCTTCCCCATTCTGGGGACAGCCAGAGCAGATCCTGGCAGCATGTTAAAGTAGAGACGGCTGGGTGCACCTCTAAAGCCAGGGCCATCGACAGGATAAATGAGCGGGTGTAGTAAGAGGAAGCGTGAGTGTGCACACACTAACCAAATGACCTCAGATACATGCCCAGCGTGTGGGAGAGGCGTGCGTGCGAAACCCCGTTAGGTAGCTTTCCTGATGAGAGGAGGTAAGTGACAGTGACAGTGACATTGAGAATGAAGGTAATGACAGAAACGGGATGACGTGGGGGTAGATAACCAATAAAGGAATATGGGCAACGCTCCCTGAAAAGAAAAATAAAGCAGTACGTCACATTGACCTGTGTGGACACGGGCCAAACACAAACCGTGACAGGGCATGTCCTTTGGCTCTCAAGTGGGAATCCCGTGTCTCGGATCTTTCCTTGCAGTGGCGGGCTGGCTGGCTACCTTTGGTTTATCTGTGTTTTGGTAATGATTGCTGCCGGCAGGGACTACGGTTCTCAAGACAACGAGAAGCATAAACAAGGCCAGAGTCCCCGTAACGTTGAAACTGGAACGTTACAACATAGTTTTCAAATGAAAGTGCTTTCCACGCTTGGCTTTTTGTGGCAGAGGGTGCAAAGAGAGGTGAAATGAAGCAAAACCCAGCAATGAACAGAAGCATACATGTTGACTATATCCAATTATAAAATGAAAACTCTTGTGTCTTCCCCCATAGTTAGCATATATATGCTTGTACATATATACATATTATAATCCTCATGGCTCTATCCCGGCCTCCCCTGTACACTGTGCCACTTAACTGGTTTCCATTTTCCTTTATTTAGCCTGGTGACATTATTTCAAGTCATGCGGTTGCAATAACGACAGAGCGTTCCCTAGATGAATTCAACATGGATATGCTGAGAAACATGAGGTTTTGCTCTAAGAGCATCAGAAAAGCACTTGAAGGATCAACAGGGAAGCCCTGCAAATGCCCTGCTCATCTGCTACTGGTGGAGACGCCAGCAACTGGTCAGAGACGGCTGAGGGGAGAAGGACCATGTGGTCTCCTCCTGACACCAACAACAAAAACCCAAAAAAGGATGTAACTAAAAACCAAACCAAACCAAACCAAACCATAAAACCCCACCAACCTAAATTTGGAGATGTAATGGGATATGCTTTAAAAAGTAGTTGCTATCGGTCTTGTTGGATTTTAATAAGTGTTCTTTTTCAACTGACTTCTGATTGTCAAAATTTTTACCCAGGGCCAATGTACTGTGGTCTCATTGAGTTACCGCATTTTTGGAAAAAAAGGAAAAAAAAAAAAAGACTAAAAGTACTTTCATTACACTTGAAATGTGTAGGGCCTATCAGACTGCTTTCTAACAAGGATTAATTTTCCTAAAGGATCTCCCTGTAACCACGACAAGTATTGCTCTTAAACCAAGGACAGGATTGAGATTAGAAAGAATTAACCTGTGATGGACGATCAAGCAGGCTGGAGATGGGAGACCATTTCCATTTGCTTTTGCCAGGAACGACTGTAACTTGTCCGGGGCGGGGTCTCGGGGCGGAGTGGGGAAGGGCTGCTGCTATTAACACTCTAGGATACTATTTACAGCTGCTTCTAAAATGGAGTCAGTTTCTACCACGCCTTCGCTGTGGTCCGGGATGAACTTCTCCAGGCAGTTCTCCTGCGAAGCCATGGGAGAAAAGTTGGGGAAATCTAACTCAACGGAGCCGCTACCCGCAGGGTCACTCTGGGACTGCCGCCCTGCCTTTTTGAGTTCCAAGATGTTCTTGAACGTTGTTTCTAAACTCTTCGTGAGCTGCAGGTCTGGCTGGGGCTCACCTGACCCTTTCATGATGTCTGTGTGTAAAACTTCATTCTTTGGAGAATTCCGCAGAGCTCTGTCCTGGAAGGAATTGTTACACGGCATCTCCAAGTGAGGGTCTGCCAGGACACCCGAGACTTTGCTCTCAGTGCCTGGATCTGGTCTGGACGAGGTCTTCCGGTGGCCCTCCGGGCCGGGGGAGCACTCGCTGGCCTTCGGGGGGTCTCTCCGGGCGGTTTTCTCTTCAGGTGCACTCCGGTATTGAGCTAAACCCGCTTTGTCAAATTTGAGTGCTCTGCCGGGACATTCCGCTTTTTTAGAAATGTTTCCTTCTGCAGAGACCACGATGTGATTAGGCACTAGATGAAACGGGTCGTGATCCGTTGGTTCTGCCAGGCCTGGCTTGGCTCGGTCTCTGCTTTGGGCCTTGGCTGTCAGGTGTGGAGAGCTGGTTGTTTTACTGCCAGGCTGGTCATTCCTGCCAAACTGGGGCTCAGGGGCGGCTTTATCAAATTTGACGGAACAACAGAAATCAGCCTGAAAACCCTCTGCAAATGGGAACAAGATGACAGGACATCAGTGAGTGGGGAGAACAAGGATTGCACAGCACACCCAGCCCAGCCCAGCCCAGCCCAGCCCAGCCCAGCCCAGCCGTTGAGCGGTCTGTCTCAAGTACAGGGACACGCAGGGGCCTGGTACTGTGCGGGCAGCTGGTAAAAGCAACCGAGGTGTGGAGCCACAGCTTCCGGTCAGGAGGCTTACACCATGGAAGGTAGCTGCCCGACGACAACTGGGAAAACCTCTGGTCGAGAGCTCCACGCAGTCCTGCTCTCTCGGGGCTAGTTTGCACTGGTTTTGTTAACGACTGCTTTGCAACAGTCTGCAAACAGAAACCAAGTGCTGGCATCAGCCTGGTTTCTCCCTTGAGCTGAGGGCCCTGGTGGAGCTTTTGGAGGGGGAGGGATGGACATAGCCACTTGTCCTGGGGTGACAGCACCTCAGTTCCTCTACACGTGGCCAAGACCACAGAATGCATATCAACATGCATGCAAGATAGTATCTTTTTTTTTTTTTTAATTTGCTATGGTTTTGTGCATTCACTGGAGAGAGACACACAGAGAGAGAGAGACTGAGAGACAGAGAAAGTAAGAAAGCACCCCACAGGAAGGTGGGCCATGCTGCGATCCCTTCTCCTCTCGGGATTTTAAACACATATACACAAGCACTTGGTGTGTTTTTCGAGCTGCCAGGCCCAGGACCAGACCGTGCAGTTGGCCATGTGGGATCCGGCTGCCTTAACCTCCATGCCACAGGCTGGCCTGATAGTATCTTTTTAGAAGGACAGTGAGGTATGGAGGAACCACGTCTGTGAGTGAGAACGGCACCGTGCCAAGCCTGAGAGCTGGAGGGTGGCAAGGGATGTGTACGTGAGGATTTAGGGCACGGAGGGGGTAGGTGGGTGGAGGCAGGCCGACTGCTGACTATGCAAGGGCAGGGCAGGAAAAGAGTTAACTCTGGAGTCAAAGTGAAACAGGGCTTTGACGACAGCCGTAACCCATAAAGACACAGATAGTGTGAACATGAATTGGTTCACCGCGTCCTGAAATGTGAGATCTAGGGGACAGAGCCTTGAAATCTAAAAAGATGACTCCGTCGGTAAGACTGACCATCAGGCACTGCCCTGAGGACAATGAGGCATGGCCCCTGCCCGGGTCGCACTCATGTCTGAGGGGCTGCCGAGGCAGGAGGGGCTGTCCACAAGCCATTCCCCAAAAGGCAAAAGGTGATTTCAGATTCTGAGAAAAAAGGACAGACATAACAACGTGAGGGGATTTCAGAAAGTTTGTAGAGAAATGGAATTAAGTATGAGTTCACTGTGGTGCAAAAACAAAAAAAATTAAAATTGAGATTTATGCAGTTTTCTTATATGTATTTTTTTTTGGAGAGATTTTCACTGTAGGGCGCGTGCGCTCGCCAGACAGACAGAGAGAGACATAGAGACAGAAAGCGAGAAATCACCCCCCAGGGGGGATGGTCACGCCGCAATCCCTTCTCCTCCATTCTCCTCTCGGGATCTTGGGCACGCACGCACACGCGCCCGGCGTGAGTTTTAAGCCACCGGGTCCGGGACACGAACCGCGGTCGACTACGTGGGAGTCCAGCGACATAGCCATTACGCTAACTGCTGGTTCCCTTATATGTATTTTTTTAAGGGAGATTTTTGCTATAGGGCACGTGTGCTTGCCAAAGAGACAGAGAGAGATAGAGAGACAGAAAGTGCGAAATCACCCGTGATGGCCTTCTCCATTCTCCTCTCCAGACTGGGCACATACGCACGTGTGCTTGGTGTGAGTTTCAAACTGCCAGGTCTGGGACTCAAACCATGGCTGGCCATGTGTGAGGCCAGTGACGTAACCATTATGCCATTTGGCGGTCCTCTTACGTGTGTTTTCATGAACTTTGTGAAGATTCCCTCATGTATCCTACATTCTCCTTTTCTTTTATGGAGAGGTTTTCGCTACAGGGCGCGTGCGCTCGCCAGACAGACAGAGAGAGACATAGAGACAGAAAGCGAGAAATCACCCCCCAGGGGGGATGGTCACGCCGCAATCCCTTCTCCTCCATTCTCCTCTCGGGATCTTGGGCACGCACGCACACGCGCCCGGCGTGAGTTTTAAGTCACGGGGTCTGGGACACGAACCACGGTCGACTACGTGGGAGTCCAGCGACATAGCCATTACGCTAACTGCTGGTTCCTTACATTCTCCTTTTCTTGTTTGGAAAGATTTGAGGCTCCTGATAGGTCCACAGGATTTCTTTCAGACTCTTCCACCAGCCCAAATGTAAGAGTCATGTATTTGTAGCTTCTGTTCTCTCTTTCTCTCTCTCTCTTTCTCTTTTAAACAAGATGTATTTAATTTTGTCATCATTATTTTTAAAATTTGCTACAGGAGATGTACACTCATCAGAGAGAGACAGAGAGTCACAGAGAGAGAGAGACGGAGGGAAAGTGAGAAGGCAAGCTGGGGAACCAGCAGTTAGCGTAATGACTATGTTGCTGGACTCCCACGTAGTCGACTGCGGTTCACGTCCCGGACCCGGTGGCTTAAAACTCATGCCAGGCGCGTGTGTGTGCATGCCCAAGATCCCGAGAGGAGAATGGAGGAGAAAGGATTGTGGCGTGGCCATCCCCCCTGGGGGGTGATTTCTCGCTTTCTTGTCTCTCTGTCTTTCTGGTGAGCACACGTGCCCTATAGCAAAAACCCCCCCAAAAAAAAAAAAAAAAAGAAGGCAAGCTGCTGGGTCTGGGATTCAAACCGTGGTTGACCATGTGGGAGTCCAGTATCTTAACCACCTCACCACTTGCTGGCCCCTCTGTTTTTTCTTTTAATTTGCCAGAGGGTGTCTGCACTCACCAGAGAGAGTTAGAGAGAAAAAGCAAGAAAGCACTGCCATGGGGCGTGGTCATGCTACAAGCCCTTCTCCCCTCAGTCCTGCACTTCTTTCCTTTTGGGATTTTGGACACTTAGGCACATGTGCCCGGAGTGTTTCTCAAGCTTCCAGGTCTGGTGCGAGAACTCTGTGATCAGCCGTGTGAGATCCAGCCACCTTAACCCAGGTCATGGGCTGACCCTGTAACATCTTTTTCAGTTTTTGTTTTTTATTTATTTAATTAATTCCATTTGTTATTATTATTTTTTAAATTGACCAGAGAGAGAGAGAGAAAGGGAAAGCAAGAAAGCAAGCTGCCAGGTCGGGACTTGAACCATGGTCAGCCATGTGAAAATCCTAAGCCTTTAACCACCAAGCCACCTGCTGCCCCCATTTTTTTTTTTTTTTTTGAGAGGTTTTTGCTGTAGGGTGCATAAGCTCGCTGGAGGGGCAGAGAGAAAGAAAACCAAGAGTCCCCAGAGGGAATGGTCACACTACAATCCCTTCTCCACTGTCCACTCAGGATTCCGGGTACACGTGTACACAGACCTGGAGTGAGTTTTAAGCTGCCGGGTCTGGAACTCGAACTGCAGTCAACTATGTGGGAGTCCAGTGACATAACCATTATGCCATCTGCTGGTTCATTGCTTTTGTTTTTTCTTTCACTTGTCAGAGGGTACATGTACTCACCAGGGAGAAAAAGAAAGCACTCCCTTAAGGAGTGTGACCAGGCCACAGCCTCTTTTCCTACACTTCTCCTTCCCATTTGTATTCTGGACGCACCTGTACATGTGCCCAACATGCTCTGCGGTTTGTTTTTTAGTTTTGGTCATAGGGCATGTGCGCTCACCAGAGAGAGACAGAGACAGTGAGAGGGAAATGGCCATGCCGCAACCCCTTCTCCTCTATCCTCCTCTCAGGATCTTGGGCATGCACACATACTCGCTTGGTGTGTTTAAGCCACTGGGTGTGGGACTTGAACCATGGTCGACTACGTGGAAGTCCAGTGACGTAACCATTACGCCATCTGCTGGGACACCTGCTAGTATGTTTTTGAAACTACTGGGGCCAGGACTCAAACTGTGGTCGACCACAGTGGGTGTGGTTCCCCAGACATAGTTCCCCATACCTGTGCTACAGGGCCAGCCCTGTTTGTAACTGCTTGGGGCATATTAAATACAAATCAGAATCTTGGTATTTAAGTATCTGAAAAGAGATGAAGAGAATAGGAATAAAGCCACAGGAAAATAACAGTCCAAAGGTATGGGACTTCATTACTTAAATTATCAAGTTATTGTATTATTAAAGTATTAAATCGAGCTGGCTCCATGGCTTAGTTTTTAAGGGAGCCGAATCCCATGTGGCCGACTGTGGATCAGATCCCTACCCTGGTGGTTGAAAACATACCAGGTGCACACGTGTGTGTGCCCCAAATCCCAAGAGGATAGAGAATGGAGGAGAAAAGATTGCGGTGTGATCGCGTCCCTTTGGGTGGTGCTTTCTCTCTCTCCTTCTCTTCGGGGACCATATTCTGATAACTGAAAAAAACCCTAAATATTATTTTGAAGACCATAGCAATGCAATAAAAACTTCCGAAGTGTTGTTTTACCACATCTGGCACATGCCCTTGCCCTTGTGAGTGTAACGATTCCTAAATAACATACCCAAGTGGGACCAGGATGAGAGAAAACCTGGAAAAATGAAAACATTTCTTTGGGGCAGCAGGTGCCGTGGTGGTTAGGGTGTCGGACTCCCACGTGGCGACTAAGGTGCAAGTCTAAGACCTGGTGGCTGGCCTTCTTACTTTCTCTCTGTCTCTTTCTCTCTGGTGAATATGCGTGCCCTATAGCAAATTAAAAATAAATTAATTAAATAAAAAATTTCTTTTATCGGATGGTGAAAGTATGGGTAAGATAAAAGATTTTTTAAAAGTAAAAAAAAAAAAAAAAAAGTAAGTATGGGTAAAGTTTATATCCTGAGAATGGTTATAATGTTACTTGTTTTTTTAAAAAAAATTTAGAGGCGGAGCCAGCAGGTGGCATGGTGATTGGAGTGCTGGACTCCCACATGGCTGATGGGGTTCAAGTTCCAGACCTGGTGTCTTGCTTTCTCACTTTCCCTCTCTCTGTCTAGCTCTTGTGGCACATGTGCCCTTGAGCAAATTTTAAACATCTAAAATATATATATATAATAATATTTTTTAAATCTTAAAAAAAAAAAAAGGCAGACTTGGTCGAATCCGAAATGTATAAAATTGGCAGGACATGAATCAAGTGAGAGAGGTCGACCTCAGTGGGGTACAGTCTACTGGCTTTTTGTGCGTGCTGTCCCAACGTGCCCCTCCGGCCTGACCTGCGCATAGCAAGGCCCTCAACACTACGCTGAGGTTTCCGTGCTTCTGAGAAGCCTCCCGACTTCACTTAGTCCTCAAGGACCAGAGAAAGACGGAGACTTAAGTTTACCATGGAGCAAAGAACTGTGGAACAGAACATGAAATTTCCGCTTGGATTTTGTTGAACAGAGATGCTCTCAGAGTATGTGCATGCTGTTCTCAACTCTGGGGCTTTCCTTCCCAGAATTTACGTCGACCTTCGGATTTCTTACCCAAAGGTCGGTCTAGATGAAGCCCCCAAGGCCCCACAACCCCTGAACCACGCAGGGGCCGTCCCCTTCTTCCACTCTGACGTTTCTTACCAGGGTCTACGAGTGCCAGACGCTTGTCCCGGGACAAGGAAGCTCGTTCCTCCTGATTGAACATTCTATCGATCATCACCATCTCAGCAGACGGATCGATCCGCTGGAAACGAGAGAGGCCTTTTATCAAGTGCAAATATCTCACTATGTCTTTGGATCAAATGAAAGAATCAGAATGAGGAGTCTAGGTTCTAGTCTGCTTCGTTTAGTCACACTGATCCTAGCCGTAGGGTGTATTTTTTTACATTGTATTTTTTGGGAAAAGGTAACTTACACATCGGTATAAAATTCAAAAGGTACTTCAGGGTATGTACAAATAAGCCTCCTTTCTTTGCCTCTCCTTGGTATCCACCATTGCCCAGCCCTCCCTAGAGTTTAAAATACTCTTGTAGGGACCAGCAGTTGCTGAAATGGCTATGTCGCTGGACTCCCATGTAGTCGGCCGCAGTTCGAGTCCCGGACCTGGTGGCTTAAACTCACGCCGGGCACGTGTGCGTGCATGCCCAAGATCCTGAGAGGAGAATGGAGAAGGGATTGCGGTGTGGCCATCCCCCTGGGGGGTGATTTCTCACTTTCTGTCTCTCTGTCTCTGTCTGTCTTTCTGGCGAGTGCATGCGCCCTGTAGCAAAAACCTCTCCAAAAAACAAACAAACAAACAAACAAAAACTCTTGCCGATATAATTGGGTCACACAGAAGCATGTATGTATGCATATACTTCTTCATTCTTGCACCCAAATGGTAGCAACTTTTGGGCTGTCGGGAAAGTCATGCTGCATTTTTGCATAGAAAAACAGAAAAAATACGTCATGACTTTTGTGACAACCCAGTACATATACAGTTCAGTACCTTCCTTTTTTTCCCTTCTTAGGAATCTTTTCATTAGGATGAACTTTTACTTTATATTCTGCTATGCTTTTATTGTGTTTTTATTAAGGCTTATACTGCATAGAATCAAAAATTATATTTCAGCATCTATTTTAACATGAGAATTCATGGTAGATACGAGATAATTAGACCAAGTAAGTGGCTCTTTCTTCACAAATGATGGAGCTGGCCCTTTAGATGTCTCAGAATTTTATTTCGGAAATGGATGTTGATATGAGAATAACATGACAGATTTTGGTGGGACATATTTGCTTAAATATACATATTTAATATACATATTTAAATGTAAATATTTAAGTAAACACATACACACATACATATTTACATTGTATTATATATATGGATAATGTATATTCAACCACTCTCCCAAAATAAATTTTCAAAGTTGATCTCAAATTACAAACAACTTTGTAAAAGATTAATTTATAGGTTAAAGCCTATATAAGTTTAGAATAGCTTCTAAAATCTCAGAGTAGATTTGGTGTTTCTATCATTTCCTGAGACATCTTCTTTATTCTTTAAAGAGCTATTTTATTCCATTTTATTTATTATTATTATCTTTTAACTTGACCAGAGAAAGGCAAAGAAAGAGTGAATGTGAGAAAGCAAGCCACCAGGTCCAGGACTCGAACTTCGGTCATCCATGTTGGGAGTCCTTTACACAAGGTTCTAGAAATGTCGCTCCTGAGGTTTCTCGCTCTGATTCAGTAGCTGTGCCCTGAGGAGTTTTAACCACCACGCCGCCTGCAGGCCCCAACATCTTACTTGTTTCTCTAATTAACTGGTGCTTTAAAATGATTTTTTGTTTGTATTTGGGGAGATGAAAATGGCCCAGAATTAGATAGTGGAAATCACTGTACAGCCTTGTGAATAACTAAAAACCATCAAGTTGTACACTTAAAAATTAAATGTGGGGGGCTGGCAGGTGGCGTGGTGGTTGAGGTGCTGAACTCCCCTATGACTGACTGCGGTTTGAGTCCCAGACCGGGCAGCTTGTTTTTTCACTCTTAGTCTCTCTGCCTCCCCATTTCTGTCTCTCAGTGCTCAAGTTGAAGAATACCTACTAATAATAAATTAAAGAATACCTACTAATAATAAATTAAAATTTCAAAAAGTTTTTCAAAATTGAATGTGGAGGCCAGCAGGTGGCAGGGTAGTTAGAGCTCCAGATTCCCACATGAATGAGTCCTGGCCTGGGCTGCCTGAAAACCACAACAAACAAACAAACAAATCATGTACGTTTAAAAAACGTAATCTAAGTTTGGTGCTAAGTTAACTATCTTTTTTTTTTTTTTGGAGAGGTTTTCGCTATAGGGCACGTGCGCTCGTCAGACAGACAGAGACATAGAGACAGAAAGCGAGAAGTCACCCCCCAGGGGGGATGGCCATGCTGCAGTCCCTTCGCCTCCATTCTCCTCTTGGGATCTTGGGCACGCACACACACGCGCCCAGTGTGAGTTTAGGCCACCAGGTCCGGGACGCAAACCGCAGTCAACTACGTGGGAGTCCAGCGACATAGCCATTACGCTAACTGCTGGTCCCTTGGGCCAGTTACTTAACCAAAACCCTGGTTTCTCCATTTGTCAGAGGAGAAATCAACAGCACTGCTGGATGAAGTAAGCCACCCAGTGAAGCAGATGTCAGCTGCCATGACCGGCACTAAGGGCTACGTGCAAGTTTCTGCAACCGTAAAGTCCTTGCCCTTTATAAGGTTCTGGAAACGTCACTCCTGAGGTTTCTCGCTCTGATTCAGTAGCTGTGCTCTGAGGAGTATTAAAAACCGAATATGTAGGTAGCATGACTTTTACCATGGCGTCTTCCAGGAGCAGGAATCTGTATTTGTTAAGCATAGCTTGAGTCCTTTTTAGGAGCTGAGTGGCAACTGTTTCAAACTCATTGTCCACTTTGGAAAAAAAAGAGAGAGAGAGAAATAAGTCCAAGCAGGCAGATCACCCCGTAGGTCTTTATTTCTTCAGACTGAAACGCGTTATTCTTTCATTATTCAAACATGGCTTATCGGTGGCAATTTTCTCTTAGGTTAGTTGTTCTCTGGCTAAGCAGCATGCTTCTGGTCTGCTTCCCTCACTGTCTAGTGGGATGTGGTCAGGAGGGTGGGCCAGTAGGTGGCATGGAGGTCGGGTGGCGGATGCCACATGGCCTACTATGCAGTTCGACACCTGGATCTAGAGGCTTGAAGGACATGCTGGGCTCATGTGAGCGTGTGCCCCAAATCCCGAGAGGGGATCAGCCTCTAGGGGTGATTTCTCACTTTACTTATCTCTCTCTGACTCTCTCTGGTGAGCACAGATGCCCTATAACAAAAAACTTAAAAAAACCAAAACCAAAACTAAATAATAATTTAAAAAATTCACATATTTTAACTTTAATTAGGAAACCATAAACATAATATACCTCTGGCTTTTTTGGGGGGGTTTGGTTTTGTTTGAGAGGTTTTTGTTATAGGGCACGTGTGCTTGCCGAAGAGACAGAGAGACAGAAAGTGAGAAATCACCCCCCAGGGGGGATGGCCACGTCGCAGCCCCTCCTCCATTCTCCTCTTGTGATTCTGGGCATGCACGCACATGTGTTTGGCGTGAGTTTCAAGCTGCTGGGTCCAAGACTCAAACCACAGTTGACCATATGGGAGTCTGGCGCCTTAACCACTATGCCATCTGCTATTCCTGGTCCTTGCCTTTAGACAGAGCGCATACCCTCAGGTGTTTCTGCCAGTTTCATGAGTTAAATAGATGAGCTCCTAGGGCTGGCAAGTGGCATGGTGATGAAGGCACCACATGGCCAACCGCGGTTCGAGCCCTGGACCTGGTGGCTTCAAAATCACACCAGATGCATGTGTGTGCATGTCCAAGATCCCAAGAGGAGAATGGAGGAGAAGGGATTGAGACGTGGCCATCCCCTCTGGGGGGTGATTTCTCGCTTTCTGTCTCTCTGTCTCTCTGTCTACCTAACGAGTGCACCCTATAGAAAAAACTTGTCTCTCAAAAAAATTTAAAAATAAGTAAATTTAAAAAAAAAGGCAAGGACCATGCTAAGCCTCTGTGCAGAGAACCTAGCCCACAGCGGTCCCATCTGTAGCTAGCATCCAAACAAAAGCTTGGATTCACTGACTCCCAGTTCTCAGTAAAATACTAGGACATTTGGGTACCCACTTCTCTGAATATTGAGAAGGTAAGTCACAGCCCTGAACAGAGACTGGGAAACAGAGTACACTGGGAACAAGGTAAGTCTGTGATTAAACACAATACCCATTGGGCTGGCCCCATGGCCTGTGGTTAAGGGAATCAGACCCCACATGGCTGACTGGGGTTCAACTCTCAGCCCCAGTGGTTTGAAAAATTCATGCCCCAAATCCTGACAGGATGGAGAAAGGACTGTGGTGTGACCATGCGTCAGTGAATGGCGCTTTTACCTTCTTCCTCTTCCTCCTTCTGTCTCTCTCATAAATGCACGTGTCCTTGGCAATTAAAAAAAACGAGTAACAAAAAAGCAATGAGTTGCCTACCATGTGGAAGTGAGGTGCTCTAGCTCTTCCAGACAGCCGTGGGACGGCTGGTGTCAGGGCGGCACGCTAGGTCACAGCCTGCTTACCTTTCCTCAAGTCGTCCTCGGTGGGCACAGAGCCCTGGCACACGTGGTAGGAGAGCAGCCTCTGCACCGCATCATTCAGCGATCGGAACTGACTCTTGTCAGGTGTCACAGTGTGGGCTTGGTCCCTCTGCAACTGCTGGAGAATGCTTGAAAAGAGAAGCGGCCAACGTCAATGTCCGAGCCATTTTCAGAAGTCAAGTCTACTCATGTCGTTTCTTTGCACGCAGAGAAAATAAGACATCTTACAATTTCTTATTCATTGTAGAGCAGGTCTGTTTTTTCTTCAGTGTTATACTTCGTATAGCACAGTGGGTTTGGGGTTTGGTCTAATCCTCTCCACAGGGGACTATGCCCTAACCACAAAAGCTCTTCCTGTGAGGGTGCACGTGTAGACCTGGGTAAGACCTGACCAGAGGCAACGGCGCTCGTGCGAACATCTCTGTTCTAACGTAGGAGTTTATCAAACCATGCTTTCCTCAAGACTCTGTCTCTAAAAAGACACAGCTATTATTGTCCTTAAGAACAAAAGAGCAAATGGTCGGTTCAAGCTATGTTTGCTGTATTTGTAGATCATAATGAAAAAGAAACGATAGGAAAGAATTTTTCTAATGCAGTTCAAAAAAGGCTAAGATACCCATTATTATAACCCGGCTTCTGTCAGTTACACTCACTGAAGGTTAGACATTTGAAAAGTAATTTGTCATTTCAAAGGATACTCACAAAGCTCCTTTAGTTAGCTGTTTTGTAGCAGGCCTTTTCTGTCCTCCCGAATGACTATCCACCTAAGGACAAAACATAGCTTTCATTATTATTAAAAAAAAAAAAAAGCAAAATATAGTTACATGTATATAAAGGTCATGACATTTTTAATGTTTTCTACTACCTATTGGAAATATATTCAAAGACTATAAAATATGCCCTATTAAAAATAAGCAAGTCCTTGGGACCAGCAGATGGCATAGTGGTTAAGAGAGTGGATTCCCATATGATCAACCATGGTTCAAGTCCTGAACCTGGTAGCTTGAAACTCACACTGGGCGCATGTGTATGCCTGTGTGCCCAAAATCCTGAGAGAAGAATGGAGGAGAAGGGATTGCGGTGTGGCCCTCCCTTCTGGGGGGTGATTTCTCTTTTCTCTCTCTGTCTCTCTGGTGGTGAGCACATGTACTCTATAGCAAAAAATCTCTCTGAAAACAAACAAACAAACAAACAAACACACACCCAGGCCAGCTAGCAGGTGATATAGAGGTTAAAGCGCTGTGTCCCACATGGCCAACTGCATGGGTCTGAGTCCGGGACACAACAGCTTGAAAATCACACTAGATGTGTATGGAAGTGTGCCTAAAGTCTTGAGCTAAAAAGGGATCGGGTCATGGCCATACTCCTGGGGTTGATTTCTAACTTTCCCTCTAACTCTCTCTAGTGAGCACACACGCCCTATAGCAAAACCCAAAAACTAAAAACAAAACAAGCCTAGGGGCCAGCAGGTGGCATGAAGACGCTGGATCCCATGTGGCTGACTGTGCAGTCTGAGTCCTGGACATGGTGGCTTGAAAATCACACCAGGTGCGTGTGCGTGCGTGCCCAAACTCTTCAGAGGAGAACGGACAAAAAGATTGTGGCATGGTCAGCCCCTCGGGGTGATTTCTTACTTTCTCTCTTCCTCTCTCTGTCTCTCTGGCAAGTGCATGTGCCCTAAATATTTAATTTATTTTTTTGAAAGATTTTTGCCATAGGGCACATGTGCTCACCAAAGAGAGAGATAGTGAGAGGGAAAGTGAGAAATCCCCCCCCCCCCAGGGGATAGCTACGCAGCAACCCCTTCTCCTCCATTCTTCTCCTGGGGTTTTTAGGCATGCATACACATGCATACACATGCATACACACACACACACACACAGACACACACACACACACGCCTGTACTTTAATTTGACGTGCCAGGTCCGAGACTCAAACCAGTTAGCAATGTGGGAGTTAGTGCCTTAACCACCATGCTACCTTCTGGGCCTGTGCACCCTAAATCTTTTTTTTTCACCCTAAATCTTTTTTTAAAAAAAAGAAAAAAAGGACCAGCAGGTGATGGGGTGATTAATGCTCTGAACTCCCATATGGCTAATTATGGTTCGAGTCCTGGTCCTGGCAGCTTGTTTTTCTTTTGACTTTTCTCACTCTCTCATGAGCACTTGTGCTCTATAGCAACTCAAAGAAGAATAATCATCAGTAAAATTAAATAAATAAGTATTTCTTTAATTATTATTTTTAATTTTGTTTATTCATTCATTTTACTTTAATTTGACCAGAGAGAAACAGAGAGAGAGGGAAAGTGAGAAAGCAAGCCACTGGGTCCAGGACACAAATTGTGGTCAGCCATGTGAGAGTGTCCACCTGCTGATCCCCAATAAATAATTCTTAAAAAAAAAAAAAGCCCACAAACTCTATATAGTAAAGTTGTAATGTATCAAGATTACAGAAAGTTGTACTGTGTTTCTGCTTTAAAGCCTGAATCCTTAACTTCCCCTACAAATGTGTCATTATATTTTCGAAAAATTATTTGTAGTTACCAACTCCATGAACATCTGAAAACACAGTAGATATAAATTAATGCAACTTTTTGGTGGTGGATGAGGAAGCCAACATTTCTAAGCTCTAGTTACATACAGACCAGCTGTGCGGCCCACTAAGGCATTCTTTACATCATATTAAGGAAACACATGTGCCTTATGTCACACACCTGTGACCCAACCAGACCTCTCACTGGGTATGCTAGGCAGGCCCAGACTGCAGCAAGTCTCACTAAACTATTAGACACTAAATTTGAAGAAGAAAATGAAAGCAAATTTTCTTCCTTCCTTCCTTTTTTTCTTGGCTATAGGGTGCACACACTTATAGAAATGGAGAAAGAAGGAAAGTGAGAAATCATCCCCTGGGGGGGATGGCCGTGCCACAGTCCCGTTTCCTCTATCCTCCTCTTGGGACTCGGGGCATATGCACATATGCCCTCATGATTTCCAAGTTGCAGGTCTGGACTCAATTATGCAATCGGCTATGTGGGATCCAGCACTTTAACCACCACACCATCTGCAAGTCCTCTTCCTTGTTTTTTAGAGAGTGGTTTGAAATGTTCTGTAGTTTAAAAGTCTAAGTTGGGTAGACATGGAACTGCCCCTTTCATAAACTCCTGGCTAGTGCTTTAGGAAAAATAATCTTCCCACATAACTAAGAAGAACAAATCTACGAATTTTTTTGGGGGGGAGGGGGAGAGATTTTTGCTATAGGGCATGTGCGCTCACCAGAAAGACAGAGAGACACAGAGACAGAAAGCAAGAAATCACCCTCCGGGGGGGATGACCACACTGCAATCTCCTCTCTTCCATTCTCCTCCTGGGATCTTGGGCACACACGCACACGGACCCAGTGTGAATTCAAGCCACCAGGCCCAGGACTCAGACCGCGGTCGACTACATGGGAGTCCAGCGACATAGCCATTACGTCAACTGCTTGTCCCAGATCTACACTTTTAAAGAAAGATTTTTGCTATAGAGTGCATGCGCTCACCAGAGAGACAGAAAGTGAGAAATCACCCCCTGGGGGGATGGCCACGCTGCAATCCCTTCTCCTCCATTCTTCTCTGGGATCTTGGGCGGGTACTCACACGCACCTGGCATGAGTTTCAAGACTCCGGGACTTGAACCATAGTCAGCCATGTGGCAGTCCAGTGACATAACCATTACACCATCTGCTGGTCCCAGATCTAGTATTAAAAAGAAAAATTCTGGGGGCCAGCAGGTGGCGTAGTGGCTAAGGCACTGGATTCCCACACGGCTCACTGTGGTTTGAGTTCCGGATCTAGTGGCTTGAAAGTCATGTTGGACGTGTGTATATGTGTGTGTGTCCAAGATCTCAGGAGGAGAATGGAGAAGGGATTATTGTGTGGCCATCCCCCTGGGGGGTAATTTTTCACTTTTCCCCTCTCTCTCTCTCTCCAGTAAGTTTATGTATCCTATAGCAAAAACCTTAAAAAAAAAATTCAGGTAGAGGTTCATGTGCTCATCAGGGAGACAAAGAGACGGGGGAGGGGAAAGAACCTCCAGTGAGGCATGGTCACGCCACACTCCCTTCTCCATTTCTTCACCCTGTCAGGACTTTTGTAGGCACATACACATGTGCGCTAGGCATGGTTTTCAAGCTTCTGGGTCCAGGATTCAAACTGCCCAGTTAGCCTTCAGCTCCCTTAGCCAGCAGGCCATGGGGCCAACCCCAGACCTACTTCTGTTTTTAACCACCATACCATCCCATAGCCATCCCCAGGTTTACTTTTTGTTTTTTTCGGGGAGAGGTTTTCCCTATAGGGCGTGTGCACTTGCCAAAAAGACAGAGAGAGGCAGAGAGACAGAAAGCGAGAAATCAACCCCCAAGGGGGATGGACACTCCGCAGTCCCTTCTCCTCCATTCTCCTCTCGGGATCTTGGGTACGCATGCACACGTGCCCGGCATGAGTTTAAGCCACCAGGTCCGGGACTCGAACCGCGGTCGACTACGTGGGAGTCCAGCGACATAGCCATTATGTCATCTGTTAGTCCCCCCAAGTCTACTTTTTAAAAGAGAATGAGTGACATCATTCAGTAGGAAACTACAATTTGGGGTGTTTATTTTGTGCTAGCTCCTGGTATCTTTTTTTTTTTTCTTTTTTTGGAGAGGTTTTTGCTATAGGGCGTGTGTGCTTGCCAGACAGAGAGAGACAGAGAGACAGAAAGCGAGAAATCACCCCCCCGGGGGGATGGCCACGTCGCAATCCCTTCTCCTCCTTTCTCCTCTCGGGATCTTGGGCACGCACGCACACACGCCTGGCCTGAGTTTAAGCCACCGGGTCCGGGACACGAACCACGGTCGACTATGTGGGAGTCCGGCAACATAGCCATTACGCTAACTGCTGGTCCCCCTGGTATCGTTATTTTTATTTTTAGTTCTTACTCTAGGGCATGTGCACTCAATGGAGAGAAAGACAGAGAAAGTGAGCAATCACTCCCCAGGGAATGGCCACACAGCAAACGCTTCTCCTCCTTCCTCCTCTCAGGATTTTGTGCACTCATGCACACGTGCCCAGCATGTTTTTCAAGCTACTGGGTCTGGGGCTCAAAACACACAGTTGGCCATGTGGGATCCAGTAGCCTTAGCCACCACACTCCCAGCTGGCTCAGTATCATTATTAATCCATGAAAAACTGACAGGTTAATGAAGCACTTTAAACGTGTCAGAACAAAGCACATTGATCCTGGAAACACAAACGTAATGTGGCCTGGCACACTCAAAGTCTCGAGTGACCACACTACTGAGGGCACGCAGGAGGCCTGGCTGACTGTGCACACTGTGCCGGACGGGGACCACAACGCGGTGACAGGGCTGCATGTCGCTCAGTTACGTTACACGTTAGGAAGAGGCTATGCAAATAGCTCCTACCTGCACGGCTGCCTGGCTGGGAGATGATCCAACTACTTTTTCCTGCTGTGGCTGTGCGGTTCCTAAGGATGCCGATAGAACTTTGCTTCCAGAATCCTGTCCTACTGGAATTAATACATAAGGCAATGTTCAACAGAAGCAGTAACTCAGCCCCCCTGGGTCAGCCCTAGCGCCCAGCGTGCTGAAAAGCATCTGAACTTCTGAAAAGCATTTCTTCACTGCGGAGGTGTGCTACAAGCGAGGAAGCAGGGCAGAGCATCTGTCTACGAGCTCTGGAGGCAGAGGGAAGGACTACTGAGGCCTACTCAGGAAATCAGCAGCTAGATAAAGACAGGAGTGGTAGCACACAGAAGCTCCAAAATGCTACAGTTTCGAATGACCTACAGTCTGGGAAACAGGCCTCCAGCCAATAATGTGTCAGTACTACCGAACCCCAAAATACAACTTAAGGAAAGGGAGGCTCAGAGAGGGAACTGAGAGAAATACTCAAGTTTGTCTGTCTTTTTGTAAAGTATAAACTGAATAGCACAAGTGTTCATAAGCTTTAAGAAAATGAAAGTGATATCACACAACGTTCTCAGTCTAGGGGTAGAGAGATTCTAAATATTTATAAAGCAACGAGAGGATAATTACAAAGTCACGTGCTATATGATACTAGATTCCATTGTTTCTTAAGAGGTATAGTTTTTAAATGTAATGTGTCATTATCTAATTAGAAGTGCTTTTTTTTCCTTAGTAATGTAGTACACAAAATGATGGCACATCTTATAATTGATACATATTTTTTTAGTTTTGCTGTAGGGCACGTTTGCTTACCAGAGAGAGACAAAAAGAGAGAGAGAGAGAGAAAAGTGAAAAAATACCCCCTGAGGGGTTGGCCATGCCCCAATCCCTTCTCCTCGACTCTCCTCTCAGGATTTTGGGCATGCATGCACATGTGCCCAGTACTTCTCAAGCCACAGGGTCTGGGATTGGAACCATGCAGTCAGCCACGTGGGGTCCAGCCGCCTCAACCACCACTCCATCAGCTGGCCCACAATTGAACCTTAGCGTTGATGTGACATGGTATATTATTTGGATGGAAAGGATACAGAAAAAGAAGGAATGATCAGAGTGGAGGTGATGTTAAATCAGGAAGATTTCATGCAGAATGGGGGAGGCAAGAAGAGTGGCCCGTGGGTGCTGGGAGGACAGGGTCACACAGGGGAGTGTTCGGACAACGGGCCCTGACCTGGCAGTGCGGTGCTCGACAGCCCAGGGGTCTGTGCTTGCCTCAGGCCATCTGCCGTCTTGGAAGTGGAAATGGGGGAAGTCTGACTCAAACATTTTTTCTGAGCCTGTGAAAAATATTACCAAGATGAAAAAATTAATTTCATTACTTAAGCCTTTTAATGCCTACCCAGCATTATCTTCAGGTTATATTACAAAATGAAATAAATGTTTTAAACTATGATTCTCTTATCGCAACAGTAAAATTGTAAAATATATTACCCCCCCCCCCCCCTTTTTTTCAAAAGTGTCAAAAGGTGTGTGTGCTTGCTAAGGAGAATCAGAGAAAGAGAAAATGAGAACCATCCCCAGTGGTGGATGGTCATGCCGCAATCTCTTCTCCCTGTTTCTTTCCTTTTGGGATTTTGGGCACATATACATGTCCATGTTTTCCTTTTCTTCCATTTTTTTTTTAAAGAGATTTTTGCTATAGGGCACTTGCACTTGCCAGAGAGACAGAAAGCAAGAAATCACCCCAAGGGGGGAAGGCCATGCTGCAATCCCTTCTCCTCCATTCTCTTGGGATTTTGGGCATGCACGCACATGTGCCCAGCATGAGTTTCTCTTTTTTCTTTGGAGAGATTTTTGCTATAGGGCGCATGCGCTCACCAGAAAGACAGAGAGACAGAAAGCAAGAAATCACCTCCCGGGGGGATGGCCACGCTGCAATCCCTTCTCCTCCATTCTCTTCTCAGGATCTTGGGCACGCACGCACATGAGCCCAGAGTGAGTTTAAGCCACTGAGTCCGGAACTCGAACCATAGTCAACTATACGGGAGTCCAGCAACATAGCTATTATGCCAACTGCTGGTCCCCAGCATGAGTTTCAAGCCGCTGGAACAGGACTCGAAATGTGTTGGTCACATGAGAGTCCAGTGCCTTAATTACCATGCCATTTGCTGCTCCCTCCAGCGTGTTTTTCAAGCTGCTGGATCCAGGACTCGAACCACTCGGTCAGCTATGTGGGATCAGCCAGCTTAACCACCATGCCACTAGTTGACCCACAAAATAGATCCTTTAAACTCTTGTTTCTCTCTGGCAAATGCACACATGTTATGGCAAAAACTTTTTAAAAAAATAAAAAAAAAAAACATTATAGGCACACTGAATTTTCTTAATGACATTCAATAGGGATGCTGGGTTGACAACAGACTTTTTGCTTCTGGAACGCCCGTGTCTTGTGCTCAGGTGCAAAGCTGCAGCTAGGAATTCAGTTTCTCTCTCTAGTGATTTTTAGATCACACCTGCTAGGATTACGACCCTGACTGACAGCTACTACATAGAGTCTGCACAGACTCCATCAGGGCCCAAGGCCCAGCCCCAAATCTACTGTCTACACTCATGATTTTGCTGTGTAGATGGTGGACGACACAGTTCACCCATACCGTCTGGTATGGCTTGAGTGTGAGTGGTGTCAGCATCAGGGAGCATGTAATTAGGAAATGTGAACTCAATTCAATATTAACCTAAGCGAGGGACCAGCAGTTGGCATAAAGGCTATGTCACTGGACTCCCATGTAGTCGACCGTGGTTCGCGTCCCAAACCCGGTAGCTTAAAACTCAACGCTGGGCGCTTGTGCGTGCGTGCCCAAGATCCCGAGAGGAGAATGGAGGAGAAGGGATTGCAGCGTGACCATCCCCCCTGGGGGGTGATTTCTCGCTTTCTGTCTCTATGTCTCTCTCTGTCTGGCAAACCCATGCGCCCTATAGCGTAAAAAAAAAACCTCTCCAAAAAAAAAAAAAAAAAAAAAAAAAAAAACCCCCCCCGGCGGGGCCCGGAGCCATAGTCTCTTCCCAGCCTCAGCCAGTCACAGATCATGAACATATACATGGACCTCACGTATTCAGGGAGGTCTCTGGATTTGAACCCAGACCCTTCTCATGTAGTCTGCCTCACAAAGCATCACGTGTTACAGCTGCACCACCATCTGGCCCCACACATAACTTATAATCATCACAAATTGCATCAATTAAGTTTAGACAAAATAACAATACCTGGGCAATTTTGTTCCCTCCCGGTCCTTTCCTTCTTGCTTTGGTGCAATAGCTTAAGAAAGAATAAAGAACATGTTTCAGTAGAAAACAGTTTTTTCAGTACAATAATTTGTGCTTTATGTCATATTATAGTGGTGAGTGTAAATTTATCTTTGAACCATGTTTTATTAACTTTTTTCCCCATAGAGTTACATCAAAAGAGTCTATAAATAAATGATGTGCTCAGCCTGCTAGTTCCTACATGCATACCAATTACCTCGATTGGTTTCCAAACACGTAGTCAGTACTTTAAACAACCATGATAATATCACAAACTAAAATATTCAACATCTCCATCTCAGTATGCTGTCACCATGCAGACAATGATTAGAATTGGTAATCAGTTTCGCTGCTGGTAAGTTGAGTGGCAGGATGCATTTTATATCCATGCTTATGTCAAACTCAATTAACATTCTAACACAGTCTGTTTCAAAGACACTGACCTAATCTCAGAGAACAATGCATTTATTTATTTCATATTAAAGGCTCTTATAGTTTATGCAGTGTTCTCGAAGCAAAGATATTTATTGTCACAATAATATTTTAAGTTGGGGCTTCTGAAGGAATGCAAAGAAGGGAGCATGTAATTAGGAAATGTGAACTCAATTCAATATTAACCTAAGCGAGGGACCAGCAGTTGGCATAAAGGCTATGTCACTGGACTCCCATGTAGTCGACCGTGGTTCGCGTCCCAAACCCGGTAGCTTAAAACTCAACGCTGGGCGCTTGTGCGTGCGTGCCCAAGATCCCGAGAGGAGAATGGAGGAGAAGGGATTGCAGCGTGACCATCCCCCCTGGGGGGTGATTTCTCGCTTTCTGTCTCTATGTCTCTCTCTGTCTGGCAAACCCATGCGCCCTATAGCGTAAAAAAAAAACCTCTCCAAAAAAAAAAAAAAAAAAAAAAAAAAAAACCCCCCCCGGCGGGGCCCGGAGCCATAGTCTCTTCCCAGCCTCAGCCAGTCACAGATCATGAACATATACATGGACCTCACGTATTCAGGGAGGTCTCTGGATTTGAACCCAGACCCTTCTCATGTAGTCTGCCTCACAAAGCATCACGTGTTACAGCTGCACCACCATCTGGCCCCACACATAACTTATAAAGAAAGAAAGAAAGAAAGAAAAATTAACCTAAGCAAAACATAATTAGAAAAGTTAATCTGATGTCTAAACTGTTGTATGCCTCTTTTCTATAGATGAGGGAGATGGGTGAGATAGTATTTAAGAACTAACAAGCTTTTTTTATCTCTAAAAGAACCCATGTGGACATGCACATATACATAAATCTATAATCTCGGTAATGCATTTAAGTAAGATAAAGGGTTTTTATAAATTACCTTCAAGTTTTATGCATTATTATTTTATGGTACAGTAAGTTTTTTTTTTAAATTCTGCATTGTGTGTTTTTTAGAATTATTTTTTTACTTAACTTTATTTATTTATTCATCCATTTTAATTTGATGGGGGGGGAGGGAGGGAGAGAGAGAGAGAGAGAGAGAGCACCAGGTCTAGGACTTGAACCACAGTTGGCCACATGGGAGTCTAGCACCCTTGACCACCATGCCACCTGCCAGCCCCAAGTGCAGTTAGTTTTCAGTTTTTTGTTTGTTTTGTTTTGTTTTGTTTTGCCAGAAGGCTTGTGTGCTCACCAGAGACAGAAAGACAAGAAAGAGAGATGGAGGGAGAGGGAGACAGCATCCCCGATGGCGTATGGCCATCCTGCAATCCCTTCTCTTCCATTTCTCCATCTGGTCGGGATTTAGAGTACACACATGTGCTTCTGGTGTGTATTCAAGCTGCTTGGGCCAGATTCAAACTACAGGGTGGGACTTGAGGAATCTGGCTCCTTTAACGACTAGGCCCGAGGGCTGGCCCATCAGTTTTATCTTATATATACTATCAGTGGACTCTGAGTTCAGTGTAACCACCCCTACAGAGGATTTAAACTATAATTTTGGCTTATGCAAAAAGTTCTCACTAGCCACTCACTTACTCAATGATGGGTTATTAATGGTTCACTTTGGCAGGAGTCAAAAAGTTAGATATGCTGTGCTCCACAGGCTGGAGGGGCCATGTGGTGGCATCGGTTCAATCTGCAGTCTGACCTCCTACACTGGATGTGGCAGCATGTGTCTGTATTCCCAGTGACTCAGGGAAACTTGAGACACAAGCTTTAGGTTGGCCTGGGCGACACAGTGAGACCCCACATAAAAACGGGGGCGTGGTGGTGTGTGACTACAGTGCCAGGGAAGCCGAGGTAGAACAGCTGTAACACAGTGAGACTCTGTCCTTAAAAAATGGTTACATCACTGGACTCCCGCAGGGTCAACCACAGTTCGAGTCCTGAAACCAGAGGCTTGAAATTCATGCCGGGTGCATGTGCTTGTGTGCCCAAAATCCCAAGAAGAATGGAGGAGTAGGGACTGTGGTGTGGCCATCTCCCCTGGGGGATGGTTTTTTGCTTTTTGTCTCTCTGTCTCTCTGGTGAGTGGACATGCCCTATAGCAAAAATCTCTCTAAAACAAAATATCATGAACAACTCCAGACCCATAAATTTGGTAACCCAGATGAAATGGACTAATTCCTTGAAAGACAGACTGTTAAAACTCAAAACAAGAAGAAATACACAATTTGAATGGACTTATATCTATTAAAGAAACTGAATTAATAACCTTCCAAAACAGAAAGCACCAGGCACACATGGGTTTACAGATGAATTCAACCAAATATTTAAGGAAGAAATTATACCAATTCTCTTCCATCTCTTCTAGAAAATAAAAGAAGGAACATTTCCTAGCTCCTCCTATGAAGTTAGCATTATCCTCATATTAAAGCAAACAAAGACATTAAAGAAAAGACTGCAGACCAGTATTTGTCATAAACATAGATGCACAGCCCTCAGAAGATATTAATACTTTGATAGTATATAAAAAAGATTATACACCACAACCAAGTAGGATTTATTCCAGGTACTCAAGGCTAGTTCAATGCTCAATGATTAATACAATCAATCACATCAACAGACTAAAGAGGA